AAAAGCTAGGGTAGTGTCCTTGGAAACAGGAGTGGACACACACACACACACTGGTAGCAATTCAGGATGAAGAGGTAGGTGTTGAATAGGAAAAAGGGCAGGTGGAACGCAGGTTGCGCGTGGGAGTGGTGTGAATAGCTTGCTCCCCTTCAGCGCTCGAAGTGCAATCTCGTTCTCTGCTCTCACGGGACGAAAAGGTGTTCCCAGTCGTAGCCTGTGGCTATTACCGGTACGGCCCCTGCCAAGCTAGTGTGTGAGCTTCAGATGTAAAAGCAAAGAAACACATGAAGCAATCAATTATGTTCAGGGATGATTGCATCGAGTGCATTTCACATACAAGTAGCAAGAGCAAGATCGCAAGCAAGAAGAGGTGTCTTTTTTTTGCGAAGGCCAATGGCTCATGTTGTGAAAGAAACAACAGGGTGGCACCAAGCAATCTGGGCATTCCTCTAAGAAGTGAACGTGCATGTAAGGTCTGCTGCTGTCGTGCTAGGGGCTCTAGTTAGTTGTTGCAGTATACTAACTTAGGAAGAGAAGGACCCTTTGTGCCCTCAAAAAGACATTGTATGCTGGAAAACGTCATTCCCGGAATGAGCTATGCCAGCTGTGCTGTGTTTTTTCCACCTAAAAAGTCACGCAAACATTCAAGATCTAAGATTACAATTCCATATATAATTCCATGATATTCCATGTATGCTCACACACTGCCGTAATAATGAACACGTGAAACATGGACCTCCTCAAGACCGTCCCACCCTGCAACGCAAGTCACCTTCCATGTCTGTGGGAATGACCAGAAGAGTATCAAGGCGAAACCCGAGCCATACCCAGATGGGTCCGCGGGTGTGCCAGTATCACAAATGAAGGGGACTAGCCTATTCCAATACGTTACACGGAGTTACACTTTTGCTGAAGCAAAGCCAACTCAGGTACGTAGCTGAGACCGTCTCAGACAAGCTTTTTGTGATTATCGGAGTTTTCGCAAAACAACAAACTAAATCCTGTTTGCAAAAGCCAAGGAACAGCTTGCCAGTCATTCCTTCGCACAAGAATGAATGAATGCCATTCCATGTTGACTTCGAGACATTTCAGGCTTGAGTTGTTGCAAAGTTGCAGGAAAAAAGATCCATTGAGGTAATCCACCGACATGCCAGCAGAGTCTGGGTACATCTGCGCAGGATCCTGCCACTTCTTTCAGGGCATCTCTTCAAAACGCATTTAAGGTTTGTAGCCACTGACACCAATCTCGATTCTGCGCAGCTATACATGCGACTAAGCTGCTATCACAGCGGGGAAGCCAGAAACCACTTCTGCAGCCTGTGAAACAGGTAGAAACGATGAGAGAAGTAACGCATGCGCGGTGGGCATCTCGATGGATTGCCCATACTCAGCCAAAAACATGTTGGGAACAAATTGCACCCTTCCGCTCACAGCAACTGGGCCCACTGAGTTGCCTTGCCTCCAAATGTCTGGTAAGTTGTTCCAAAAGCTCTTGCGAAGAGAGCCGCGATACAGATGGGCAGCATTGGTCGAGATATTCTCCTTAGAATTCATCCTAGTGAACGACCGTCATTCAAATGGGCTGATGCTAGCTGCAGGAGGGAAGCACGTTTTGTATCATTCATCATCCCGACTCAGCCACTCGCGGAAAGATGTGGAGTCGAGCTTTGCCAAGAGTTTTGGCACTGCCGCCTGTGTAGATATCACTCAACATGAGTTCATGAAACAGCTGCTGAACAACATCTTAACACAAAACCTCATGTTGAAGACACAAGGCCACAAGGCCTAAGAAAATCTGTTGGCACAAACAATCTTGCCAAATATTCAAGACCATCAGGACCTAGACTGCCAGTGAACCGTCCATATGAGCTTTCTAGAGTTTCTCTCTTTCTCTCTCTCTCTCTGCAGAGGCACAGGGATTCCAGTATAAAAACACACTTTGGTTCCTAGTGGTTCTCAGTAGCAACGGGCCCATAGCTATCCAAATCTACAAAAAACCTTCAGGCATTGTTCTCGCCAAAAGTTCAGGTTTACCTTCTGCCAGTGCCCACGCTGAACAATGATTTTCTGGCGCCTCTGACAACTCCTGTGCCACCACTTCAACATGGGAGACCACCTTCTGCTCCCAGTCTGTCCTCAAGCAAATCAAAGGGGATGCTAAAGATGCTTGCTTCTTCTCCATTTTGGTGATTTTTCTACGACACATTCACAAAACCATTCTGGCAAAGCCACAGAACTGCATCTGACAGGGCTGCCGGTAAGCTGGATAATGCGAGCCTCCCACTTACAAAGCATTGAGAGCTTCATAATTGGTCCTTTCAAGCTTTCGTGAAGATTCACACAGCCTCGGGGGCCCAACTTCACAACATGGGTGGCTTCCCACCTCAAGAGCCTGACGATCATCTTGTGGCCACAAGCGCAGCGCGGGGAGTTTAGTGAACGGATCCCCTGCAACAAATCACCCGCAAGGCTTCATGATCTTCATAATAACTTACCTGCCTGACGGTGTGCTGTTTTGGATGTTGTGACATTTATGACGCTTATGATTGAAATTCTGTTCGGGTGAAGCCGAAGCCTTGGCCTTATCTGTACCTAATCCAGGAGCCATGTTTGAGCCGTTGGTGGCGCGTGCATTGCTCAGAGTGAAGTGATGCATGCTGACAAAACTTGCAGCAGTTTTCTGCAGCGATTCATGCCTTTCTGTCCAAAGGTAGGCATCAACCGCAGCACTCATCACAGCTCTCAAATTCCTTGCGGACGCAATGAGCCATTCTTGTTTTTCCTATCCACATGCGTCAGTCTGAAAGTGGAGTCTCAGGTCTTTGCGGAGCATCCCCGGGAGAAAGGAAGGAGTGCCCAGGACTTTGCATCGCAGTCAGAATTGTTTCTCAAGAATTTCTCAAGTCTTGTTTCTTTGGTGTCCGCGCCCAAGGGATCATCGCCCTCTGCAAGGTGCATTGTGTTTTGCCGAGGGGTCAGGTTCAACGTGCTCGCTCACGCTTTGTCATTCAGACCTGCTCTGATTTGAGGAACTCAAAATGAACATGATCGCGACAGTCTCGGGGTTCATTGGAGCCAAACGGCTGTGACAAATTCTTGCAGCGGCTTTTGTGCAGGAATGCCAGTACAACTGCCCATCTTGAAAGTGCGATGATCGCAATTTTTTTGAGCCATGGCCTGTTTGGTCACCCCCAGAAAACCCTTGAACCACTTGCATCTAATGCTGTTTGGAGCCAACTTCTCGACTTGTTCTGACATCTGCATCACGCTTGCTGCTTCATGGTTGAATCTGCAAGTGGTTCAGCCCCACCCCTTCATGGCACATCTCCCAAGGGCCAATGCGTTAACTCAGTCGTAGAAATGCCGAGACAATGAGCTCAGGCAAATGCATGAGGAAGGCTTGGACTCCATCCTGGGCCAGCATCAAAGGCACATTTTACGAGAGTACAATCACAATGAATCACAGGCACAAACTGCTTTTGAGCGGAGCGGAGCAAGAACACTACTAAGGGCTCCTGGCCTTACTACATCTTACTACTAGGAGCAAGGACGCTAGTAGTAGCTCCATGTAGCTCCTGGCATCGCTACTAGGAGCAAAAATGGTCCCCAAAACAACATTTCAGTTGTCACCCCCACAGCCCTGAGGCTCACTATGCCAAGCCTTGGCGGAAACGGTCTGCACCAGCATCCTTTTCGGCTAAATGCAGCCGGTCACCTCCAAAAGACATAGGAGTCATATACGTTTATATAGAGCTCATGATAGCATTTACAAGCTCTCCAATTCCTGGCCCCGAGACTCTTCAATTCAAATGGCAAGCCAAGTCGCGGAAGTGAAGCCCCTCATTGCCCCACGCAACATCCTCGGGAGCCAAGAATGCACCGAGGAACACTGCCTGTGGCTTGTGTAAAAGCTTCTCCAAGCGCTTTCGCATTTTCATTTTGGACAAACACTGTTCACTCAAATGGATTCAAATGGCAGGTCCGACCAATGAAGGCAAGGCTCTGCGCCCAAAGTCTGTGCCATAGTGGCAGCAACCGATGGAATGCCGTCACTTGGAAGCATAGAATGCTGCATGGCTTCAAGCTCCAATTTCATCCTGAGGGAAAGTAGGCAATAGCAGCAGCAAGTCAAATGGATGGCAGTTCTTGATGTCAGTCTATGGTGTGAAAGGGTATCGATTGTCTGCGCATGTAACCACAACACAAAACAATACACCCGGTGATACTTGGTCTAACTCATGCGGATATCTATTTGTCTGCCACTGGTTTATTGCGCTTGTTCTTCATCTACATACTGAGCACGTGTCAGGAGTCCTGTGATTCTCCTGTCGTTGGGTTTCCAGAAGTGAAGTCAACTCCAAGACCTCCAAGCGAGAAAGCATGACAATGTCTTTGTGGTGCGCTGGCGGCGAGACACGCTGTGATTATAATCACGCTTGGCATTGCCATCCCAATGTGTTGGCATTATAACATTTGCAGCATCATAAAGCCTGCTCTATCCACCATCACTCATCCTGCACCAAACTTGTCAGAAATTAAGAAATAACGTAAGCATCGACGCCGAGAAGTGAAAGCATCTACATCACACCTCCTTTTGAGCATACCCCTCTTGTTCTTCCTCTGGGTGTTTATGCTATGTACCAGCCAATTGCCAACCTGAAAACAGATTCAATATGCTTTAATGATCTTTATAAGTCTTTATATATCTTTCATATGCAAGTCTTTGTGTATTCATGTTTAATATACTATAAGTCTGTATAAGTCTCAATTATACTATAAAGTATAGCTTGGACTTTGGCCGGGCAGTTGGCACTTTTGCACACCAATGCAGCCAATGGGAACTCTGACATGGACATCAAAAAACACCCTTCCTTGCACGCTTTGCAAGGCCCTGCCGAATTTCGACGTTTGACACAGGTGAAACGGATGTTTTGTGCTGTGCGAATCTTGTTTACAAGCTTCCCTGTCCCAGAAAAGCATGCTTGATTCAAGACCCGAGAGGGGACATTTTGGTGTGGTTTATTAAGATTTGAGCAGCGTGCGGACTTGAGGTACTACTGGCACTTCCATCACCACAATTTCTTCGCATAGCACATTTGCTGCTGGAGCTTTTCTCCTGCATGCTCAAAGTACGTGGGAGGCTTCAGCCATGCATCCCACGTCCTCACTGATTCAAATGATTTTCGGGTCCAGGACTCCGTTCATCTGTTCTTGGATCCCCCCAAGTTGCTTATCAAATGGTTTTATAGTAGCGTCATTGCTCCTAGTAGGGATGTCCTTTGTTGCTAGTAGCTTCTTGTTCCTAGTAGTAAGGCCAGGAGCTACTAGTAGCTCTTATGTTTACGTTCTTCGAATCGTCATTCGATCTCGTTCATGACCTCCTGAAGAAGTTGGGCCTCAATTATAGCTTCACGCTCTGACAAGCGAGGCAGCTCGGGCAGCGTGAAGGAGGCACTCGCGCCAGTCTCATCTCGGAAGCAGTAGTCTTTGGGTTCCCAGCCCCATATGTGCACCTACAGGAAACATACGGAAACTTGATGACACTTGCAAACAAATGCAAGCAGTACCCCACCACATTAACAAACTCCCTCAGTGTTACTCTTCGAACCTATTTAAAGTAGATTTAGATTTTAGATTCTTCAATAACCAAGCCTGCTTGTTTCCTTGCCGCGCTCGAGCACACAATCCACCCAAAGGGCGGACCTCAGGCATCCCTTTGCCCTTGCCCAGATCACCGAGAGTATGGTCCAGGATCAAATGCACATCAGGGCCCAAGCTACGCAACCCCTTCTTCGGAGCTTTGAATCGTGTGGTCGTTGAACTAGCTGAGATATTGGACTTTGAGTGCATGCTGCATGAAAAGCCGCTCTGCAAGGTGCTGCGGCTGCACCAAGTGCGAAGTGAGTTGGCTGTGCTTCTCTTCTGTCGAGCTCGTAGTTGACTAAACTCCCGCCTTTCATCTCTTTGTCTCAATTCAAGGTGCCGAATCTCTTTCCGCAGGGCTTCAACTTCACGGGTCCTCCAAGTCAAGGCAGAAGAAACAGATTGATGCCAATGCCCGGGTTCCGGAGGGATCCGAAAGCGGCGCATAGCTTTCACCTTTCTTTGCCACTCTAAGCGCTCCCGCACTGCAGCATCCAAAACTTCCTTCAGCTCCAAAATTAAATTCTCACGCTCCTCGATGCTTGATGTGATGCTTTGCTGTACCATTGACATCCATGAGCTTTCTTCCCAAAACGACTCTGGCTCGGTGATTATAGCATGCCGGACAGAGTCATCAGCATCGCTTTCCACTCCAAAATCTGAAACAGAATCGTCTGTAAGACTGTCATCCTCGGTAAGGAAAATACCCTCTTCTCGTATAGAAGACTCTGGACCTACTAACGATGACTCCCCACTGCTGAAATGACGATGTGGCACTCCCGGCATTGAATAAGCTCCACAAAAGGCAATGCAATGCAGCAATGTAATGCGAAGCAAGGGGCCGTCCTAGCGAACTCACACATATTACAGTAGTGCTTATGTCGACTTATATCCCCAAATCGTACTTTCTCACTTTGTGCACTTGCTGCGAGTTTGCATCTGCTGATTGGCTTTTGTCTCAAGAGTTGTGCGTGGGAGAAATCAAACTTGAGCCGAGGCATTGCAATCGGCTCGGCAATGCACTTACCCTTCCTAGGAGAGTGCTACCATCCGAAAAGGACACATTCATCCGAGCAATATCGTGGCTACGCTGCGCTGGCCGCTAACTCGTCCATGCATTTGGCAAGCACTGAGCAGGTCCAGCATTGTTGTACCCATGCACTTTCCGCCGGCGTGCCTTGTCATCTGCACTGAGAAGCCGCTGGCCATACCTCCCTCCACCTTGCCGCATTGTGATGGTTTAACAGATTCGGAGCATGGTCAAGCACCAAGTAGCTGGCTACATGTCGCAAAAGGAACACTTGGTACAATGGATAGATACGGGGCACGGGTCAAAGTGCACCATCGAAAGGCTCGAAAAGGCTTTGGGACTCTAGGAAGTGCAGGATGTTGCAAATGTGAGGCTTGCACTGCCAGTAGAGGATCAATGCAGAACTGACCATTGTTTATTCAAACAACACTGCCTATGCGACTGGCGCAAGACAACACGTAACACGTCTTGCTGCCTTTTGCAAAGTTAACGAGCATTGTTGTGGCATGCGTCTTCGTTTTGTGGACCAAAGTTTTTGTTGGTAGCTAAATTGCAAATCATATCAGCGAGGACTTCGGGGGCTCAGGTTGTTGTTGTTGTTGTTGCTGCATACCAAAGCTGATAACCCTATTCTGTGTGCAAACTCGCAGCCATTCAACACGAGGGTGAGTAACAACGCCTTCAGCCTCTGCAACTACAAACTGGCAGTGGTTGCCATGTTCATCCAAGGAACCTGTGTCTGAACACTGAGGGGTAGAGTCTAGTCTACCTGAGCAACACAAAACGAGGGCCGACGGGGAAAGGGGAAAAGTCGAGATTTGTGTTGAGCCCCTGAACCAGGCATTGATTTGCTCCATGGCAAGCTTGCAGCTTAAATAGGACCAGAAGGGTCAACATGACAAGGATGGAGCTGGAGCAAACTCAAAGCAAACTGCATGGTTTTGCTCATTGACTTACATCCAGCAAAGCTTCTCTCTGGCAAATATCTGGGTAAAGCATTTAGCTCTCCCGCCTCACAAAGTCTGACGAATGCGGAACAACAAGCATGGATACTGGATACTGAGTTAATCATCGAGCTATTAAGCGTAAACACCCCATGTGACACAAAGTAACAGGTGTCCATGCACCAAATGGGGCAAACAAATGCAAAAAACATAATGCAATCCGCTGCAACTACGTTCCGCCACATTTGATCTGAGCCGCTTCCGGGGAGCCAATTTGATCTGGTGCCTCTCGTCTCAGCCAAGAGCCTAGTCCAAGCTTGGGCACTGGGGCTATCTGGTGATCTTGTTTCTTCCGTTCTTTTCTTCTGATCCCTTCATGTCCTTGTCGCTCTTCTTATTCGTACAAAGTGCCAGCAGTTAATTATGCTTGTACTGTCAAATCTGTAAAAGCCAGCACTACAGTTTCGGATTTGCTATAACTTGCCTGAGCCCACATTCGCCATGTTTGCCTTTGAGGATGCTTGCAGTGCTTTTTCGGCTGCAGCCAGCCGGAGTGCCTCATTGGACAAAGTTTGAGCACCAACTCCAACGGCGTATCGTGATATTCAATAGCACTGAGTCCTGACTTGGTGAATGACCTGACGTTCAAAACGCTCTTGAAGTTCTCTGACTCTTTGGTCTTGCGCGTCCAGCTCTGCCTCTAGTTCGGGAATGAGAACAACTTGTACCTCTCTCACTCGGACAAGCTAACAATCTAAGTGCCTGCAATCCGATGATAGTTTCATCACGTTCATGCAGTCGCTGTGTCAGGGTTATCATTATGTCCTTAGATTCAGCCGCACAGCTCAACATGTGGCCATATAAAGGGGGCAACAAAAAAGCTGAATACTTCTTATGCTCGCTGCTTCCAATGTGCTCGCTGCTTGAGAAGAAGCTGCTTGTATCTACCGGCCGGCGCCTTCCAAACCCACAGTAAAATCCCTGGAAGCAACCACTCCTCCTTTGCACGGGTTCTAGCCAAACAGCAACTAGTAACTATTATATACTGTATTCAATTCATTCATTGATCGTCCATGCAGTTGTCCATCATGCAGTCGCCCACTGCTTGCCTTGTCTTCTTCTCTCTGGCGGTTCCACAAACTTCCGGTTTTCCCACCTGCCAACTGCAGAATCTCATCGATCCCGCCAATCGGCAGTCATATGCAGTGAGTCATGCCAGTCAAGGCCACATCTTGAACCACTATCCACTATCGGTCGTACTGAAAAGTCCCACAAGTACCACAGGTATCCAGGATCCATTTTTAGGCGAAGCTTGATGAAAAGGAGAGGGAATCCAACCCAAACCAAACATATTATTCATGAGAGGTTTCTTCATACAAGATGTGTTGGGGCGATGTATAAAGTGTCAAACTACAAAATACATCTTGTCAGATTTCAGCTTGAAATCGTGCTGTGTTTCATTTTGCTGTGCATGTGCATTTCGCTTTCTCAAGAAGGGAGGGTCGAAGCTTCGCTAGATCTTGAGCCTTAGCCTACGCCATAGAAAAGAAAGCGTTGTTTGTGCTGCAACGTGGTCTGGCAACTTCGTGCGTGCTGGATCGTTCGTAGTTGGTGGCGCGGAGCTGTTCGATTGCACCTCATGGCTGCGACAGGAGCTTCAGGATCCACCTCCACCTCGTATGCTGGAAAAGCCCATGAAAATGTCCCTGAGTTCAACGGCCGAGCTTCGGACTACAAGGAGTACCGGAAGCGTCTCTTGCTCTACAGTCGCAAGATGACCCTGGCGGGTCGTGAAAAGGAGACAAGCTTCAACGTGCTTTGCACTTTGAAGGGCCGTGCATGGGACGCCGTTGAGGACATCCCCATGGAAGAACTCGAAGGTTCCACTGGAATGCAGAAAGTGCTGGAGCGATTGGATAAGGTCTTCAAGTATGACAGCATCACCGAGCTCCCCAGTGACTTTGAGAATTTCTTCTGTTTCCTGCAGCGACGCAAAGGAGCAACATTGCAAGAGTACTCAGCCGAGTTTGAACGTGCTTTGAGGAAGCTGGAAGGCCACAGCGTGACTCTCCCCGAGAAGGTTGTTGGCTGGTACTACTTGCGCCGTGCAGGCCTCAGTCAAGCTCAAAGGCAGCTCATCATGTCGAGCATTGGTTCAGAGACCCTGTCATTGGAGACAGTCCGCAAGTCGATGAACTTTGTGATCGGCCAGGACAGTGTCCCTGAATCTGAAGGCTACAAGTCCTCTGGTCGATGGGGTGCCAAGTCCTCATCCTATAAGGACACCATCTACTACGACTCGGACGTTGACCTCGAGCAAATCTATGAAGAACAAGATTACGACCCTGCATACTGGGCCGAAGGTGCCGAAGGTTTTGATGGTGCCACTCTGTCAGAAGAGGAGCTTGATGATGAGCTTGTTCTCTTGGCCAACGATGACATGGCCGCTGAATATGATGATGTTATGGCTGGCTACACTGAAGCCAGGCAGAAGTTGAACCAAATGCGCATGTCTCGCGGCTACTACCCCGTTGTTGCCATGGTTCCTGACCAAGGTGGTTCCACCTACAAGGGTTTCATGACCTCCAAAGGCAACTCCAAGGGCAAGGGCAAGAGCAAATCCAAAGGAAAGAAGGGCTCTGGCAATGTGGTTGGCTCCAAGCAGGCTCCTAAGCCTCCATCCGCGAAAGCTCGCGGACGCGCCGTCATGGGCGCTGAAAGATGTCTTCGCTGTGGTCAAGCTGGACATCGTGCAAAGAATTGCCCAGCCGCTGGCGCTGGCAAGCGCAAGGCAGAATCCTCTGCCGACGCTGATGTCAACATGGTTGAGAACCTCGAGATCGAGGAAGTGCAGTTGACACTTGAGGCTGATGAGCGAGAAGTCCACGATGTCGCAACGATGGACTGTGGTGCTGGCAGTGTCTTGACCAGTGAACAGAGGCTCAAAGACTACCTCAAGGTCTTGGAAACTGCAGGCTTCAACGTCGCAAACATTCCTGTCTTTCGCTGCAAGAAGGGGTTCCGATTTGGCAACGGTGAACAAAACATCACCACCCTATGTGTTTTGGTTCCCACTTTCATGGAGGGCAAGCGACGTGATGTGTTGATGTACATCATCCCAGGGAATGCACCCTTTCTGTTTGGAAGGCCATTGCTTGAAGCCCTGGACATCTCGATCAACTACGCTGCCGGTCGCATCAAGTGGGGCAAGAAGGCCTGGAAGAAATGCCTTCGCGGAACGAAGGGTGAGTTTGTGTGCCACATGGCTGCTGATGTCACCAAGTTGTTGAAGAAGGAGCCAAACAATGTTCTCCTCCCTGATGATTTTGAGCAACACGTCCATCCTGAGATCCTCGATATTGGTGTCTTTTATGATGGCAAGTCAGTTTCAATGCTGAATGTCTCTGAGGATTCAGTCCACAGTGTGTTGGAGGAGAAGAATGTGACCAGTTTCACAGCTGCAAAGTCCATTTTGGCATTGTAGCCAGTTGCTGCGTGTGAGAAGAGTGCAAGTCCTTCTGTCGAGTCAGAGGTCACACCAGCTCAGAATTCAGAGAATTTGGAATTTTGTCGACACAGCGAAGATGACTCCGATGATGATGTGGTCATCACTGAGGTGCATACCTTAGATCCAGGTCCCGACCATGCTGATGATGATCGTGATGAACGTCAGCGTTTGCCTGGTGGCAAGCTCTCAGCTCTCCTCCATGACACTCAGAGGAGGCTCAAAGAGTGTGATGATGTTTTGCGAGCATGTCCCATCCAGCACTATGACAAGAAGTTCCGATTGTGGGAAGTGTTTGCTGGTGAAGGCAGAGTCACTGCCACGGCCAATCGGCGCAAGAATCTCAGTGCCGAGCGCTTCTCCTTGGCCGATGATTGGGACTTCACTCGAGCCTCGCATCGCACAGCTTTCTTGAGGAGACTTCGTGATGAAGAACCTGATGTTGTTCTGCTGTCTCCCATGTGCAAGCTATGGAGTATGCTTCAAGAGCTCACGGTCGCCAAAGATCCGAGCTATGCTGCACGCCTACAGGAGGCACGTGACTGGGATCATCAGAACATCCTCATGTTTTGTGCGATTGTCTTTGAGGAGCAGCGGCGTCATGGCCGCCTTGCTTTGCTGGAGCATCCGAAGAAGAGCCGTGCCTGGCAGACCCAAGCCTTTCAGCAGATGCTTGGTTTTGATGCTGAAGTTGATCAGTGCATGTTCGGTCTCAAGTTGCCCAATGAGCTCAACTGCATGCTGCCTGTTCAGAAGTCCACAACCTTTCGAGTTACCAGTCAGCTATGTGCTGAGAAGCTGACACGTGTTTGTGATGGTTCTCATGAGCACACCCATCTTGAGGGCAGTGTTCCTGGTGTTGGACTTCGCTCATGGCTTGCTGAAAGTTATCCACAAGCCTTGGCAACTCATCTTGTCAATTGCATCCTGAAGGAACTTGAGTCCACTGAGAATGTCTTTGCTGTGACTGATGCACAAGAAGATATTGCTGCCTACATGCGTGAACGCAAGCGGCAACGACCTGATGAACCACAACCACCTGCATCAGCGACTGAAGATGCACCAGTCCCTGTTGTGCCCTCAGTCAACATCCAGGACATGGACTCAGAAGACTTCCAAAGCCTTGATCCTGTCCGCAGAAACAAGATCCTGCGTGCACAAGTCGGCCCAAGGTCAGTGGAGTATGTGCAACGTCTGCACAAGAACTTGGGGCATCCAGGATGGGAGATTCTCCATCGCATGCTTCGTGAAGTACAAGCCACTGACAATGTGCTCAAGGCCGCCAAGTACTACACCTGTCCTCTTTGCTATGCCAGGAAACCACCGAAGCAGACTCCACCTGCCTCAGGACTCAAGTGCACAGAGTTCAACCAGCGAATCCTTGTCGACTCGCATTGGATCTCCTGTGACGAGAGCATGGTGAAGCAAAGGGAGCCTGCCCCTGGCACACCGGCAGCACGCCGGAAAGCAAAGGACATCAAGGAGAAGCGGCCTACGGGACGACAGTGCGTCCTCACCATCGTGGATCATGCCACGAGGTATGTTGCCATTCGCCTCTTGAAGAGCGAAAAGGCTGAAGAGTTCACAAAGGACTCGAGCGAAGTTGGATCAAGCACTTTGGCCAACCTCAGATCCTTCGCATCGATGAGGCCAAGGGATGGAGCAGCACTCATGTTCGGGAATGGGCAACACAGAGAGGAATCTCCTTGGAAGTCCAACCTGCTGAAAACCACAGCTGGCTAGGTGTTGTTGAACGAAAACATCAAGTTGTTCGTCGTGCCCTGGAGCTCTACATGGATCAGTGTGAAAGCCATTCCAAAGAAGCTTTGAAGGAAGCTGGTCGTTATGTTCCTCATAGCATCAACCAGTTGTCCTTCCATCGTGGCTTCACTCCACAGCAGTGGGTACTTGGGAAGTCCATGACCTACGTCCATGGCCTGTCTGGAGAGATTTTCAACCCAGCTCAAGAAGCCATCGATGAACAAGGTGCTTTTGCTCAGGTTCAGCTCAAGAGGAAGAATGCTGCTGTTGCCTTTCTGGCAGCTGATTCCGACGCCAAACTCCGAAGAGCCTTCACACAGAAGTTTGCTGAGATGCAAGAAGATTTGGTTCTTGGGCAACGTGTTTGGTACTGGCGAAAGAACCTTCGCAAGTTGCACAAATCTGGTTGGCGAGGCCCAGCTCGCATTGTGGCCATTGAGGAGCAGCCCAACGTGAATGTCTACTGGCTTTGTCACGGCACATCCCTCATTAGATCCGTGACAAGTGATCCAAAGGCAGCTCTCAAGGATCTTCAAGATCTCAAGGCCCGAAGTACCACTCAGTTCCGTGATGAGCTCAAAAGAGGTGGTCAAGATGAAGAGATTGATGAACTCCAAGGAGAATTTGAAGCTGAGTATGAGCCCACAGACCCACAGATCCTGGCGATCACCTTCCAGAAGATCGCTCTGATGAAGATGAAAAGTCACCCGATGATGATGATGCCAAAGAGCCACTTCCTGGCGTCGTGAGCGTCTTTTTGCCACGACTTGCTCATGAGGACCGTGAAAGAACTCCAAGGCGACATGAGCCGTCAACAGCACCTCCCTCAGAGCATGACATGGATGAGCCTCCATCCAGTCCTAAAAGGAAGATGGCCGAGGCAGCTGAAGCAGAACCTCGTGGAAAGGTTGCTCGATCCTCTCCACTGAGGCCAAGTCAAGGCGTTGCACTGCAGCCAATTGCTGAAGAGACTGCACCAATGGATGCAGCATCTGTTCCTCTGCCAACAGATGACGATGATTTGGTCATCGAAGATGTCTTCTTCACTGAACTGCCAGCTGACGCCCCAGAAGGCTGGCGAGTGGTGGACGGATGTTTGGAACTTGATGATGTTCTCATGGCCGCCATCCGAAAAGGTGAAGTCAATGAACGCAAGCTGTCTCCAGAAGACCGCATCAAGTTCGTTGATGGCAAAAGAAAAGAATTGGATCAGTATTTTGGCAATGCAGTTTGGAAGTTCGCTACCACCGAATCTCCATCAAGGACAAAAGGATCATCACAGCTCGCTGGGTCCTCACTTGGAAGAAGATTGACTCAGATGATGGCGTGGTCAGGTGGAAAGCGAAGGCCCGCTTGGTCCTGAGAGGGTTTCAAGACCCTGACATTTTGTCGATGAAGACGGCAGCCCCTACTGCTGGCAGAACTGCACGGACCTTTCTCCTGATGTGCACAGTGTGGTGCAACTGGTCCCTATATTGTGCTGATGTTCAGGCCGCGTTTCTTTCTGGCAAAAGTTTTGATCGTTTGCTGGTTGTTCGACTGCCGATGGATTGCCTTCCTCTCATCGATGGAGCCACTCAAAAGGTGTACAACAAACACCTATACATGAAGATGTGCAAAAGTGCATACGGCCTTTGCGATGCACCTCTGCTTTGGTATGAGGAGGCCTCATCAAGACTCCTTCGGAGAAATTGGAAGAAGCATCCCCTCGACAATTGTTGCTTCATGCTGCAAGGCGAGAACAAGGGTGACAAGCCAGGTCCCTTGGTTGGCTTAATCATCGTGCACGTCGATGATTTTCTCCTGACGGGCAGTCCCTCTGACCCGATCTTCAAGCAGGCAATGAGTCACCTTCAAGAGGATTTCTCCTTTGGCAAGTGGGATCAGTTGACGACTGGTCAACCACTGAAGTACTGCGGTGGAGTCATCAAGATGACCTCAAACACCGACATTGAAGTCTCCTATGAGGAGTACATCAAGAAGATCTGCCCGATGACGATTGCCAAAGGGCGCAAGGACACCGATCAGGTGTCACCAGCTGAAGTCTCAGCTGCTCGTGGCTTGATTGGCGCACTTCAATGGCCGGCAACTCAAGGTGTTCCAAGCCTTTGCGCTTCCATGAGCCTGCAAGCTGGAGAAGTCCCCAAGGGCACTGTTCATGATTTGAAAGAGCTCAACAAGAGCCTCAGATTTGCCAAAGCAAACGCAAATGTCAACCTCAAGTTCATGGCCCGTCCAGAGCACTATTCAAAGAAGAAGCAAGAGGCCAGCCTGGACGACATATGTTTGGTTTGCTATGCTGATGCCGCCTTTTGTGCTCGTAACGACAAGTCGTCTCAAGGTGGCTACATCATTCTGGCATGTGAGAAGGGTGTGCTTCAAGGGGAGAAAAGAAGTTCTTCGATTTTGTCCTGGCGCAGCTTCAAAGTGCCCAGAGTATGTCGAAGCTCATTGGCAGCAGAATGTCAGGCCTGTGCAACGGCCTTAGAAGAATTGCTGCTGACGAAGACCTTTTTGGAGCTGCTCAAACACCCAGAGAAAAGCCTCAAGGAGATCAAAGATGATCTACATGGTGCTTGTGCCATGGTCACTGACTGCAAGGCCCTTTACGATGTGGTGCACAGAGAGACTGTGCAACAAGCCACCGACAAGCGAGTGGCCATTGAGGGCTTGGTGATCAAGGATCTCCTAGCAGACATGAGCTGCCAATGGCGATGGGTGAGCAGCGAGAGACAGCTCTCAGATGGTCTCACTAAGGTCAGTGCTCGCCAGAACTTCATCGAGCGCTACCGTGGAGGCTAGTGCAGTTGGTGTCAGATACTGCCTTCCTTGCCTCTAAGAAGAAGACCAAGGAGCAGCGAGAACAGACCATCAGCGAAACCCGTGGTGGCCCTCGTGTTTCTCGTTCGCATGTGGCTGAAGCCTTGGTGGCCCTTGTGATGGCCAACAGTGTGACTGAAGCTGATGCTGCCTCTCCTGATGACACGAGCTTCAACAGTTTCAATGCCCTGATGGTGTCAGCCATGATCGGCTGTTTGACTATGGTTTGGTTTTTCTGGCATGTTCTGAACAAGTGCTGCCGCCAGGAAGCAAAACCGCAACTGACAGAATCACTTAAGGAGTTTGCTGCTGAAGAGCGTGTGGAACTGTTAGAGTCACAGCTGGAAAATCAGGAAAAGACCATCCGGTCTCTCCGTGAACAGCTAGCAGTCATGAAGGGACGCATCAAACAGATGCAGGTCGAGAACAAGACTCTCCAACAGGAAGCCAAGATTGCGCGTGACCGAGCACGCAGTTCCGAAGACCCCAGCACTTACTTTGGACATCACCATGTCCACATCTGTCAAGGGGGCGAAGTTTGGCACATCTCTCAGACCTGTGCTGGTCCGCAGAGTCAGATTCGAAGAGCCTGCCAACGATGTGTTCGAGGCTGAAAAGCCCATGTCAGCTGAATCTCACTCCCCAATGTCAGATTTCAGCTTGAAATCGTGCTGTGTTTCATTTTGCTGTGCATGTGCATTTCGCTTTCTCAAGAAGGGAGGGTCGAAGCTTCGCTAGATCTTGAGCCTTAGCCTACGCCATAGAAAAGAGAGCGTTGTTTGTGCTGCAACGTGGTCTGGCAACTTCGTGCGTGCTGGATCGTTCGTAGCATCTATAATAGACAGCTTCTTGCAGCTGTGGATCTAAACTTGGGCATCTTTTGGATAACCGCTTTTGCAGCCAATGATTGGTGATCGAAAATCCCACTAATCATGAAAAGGGGCCCACGGGCAAAGGAAAACGCATCAAAGGAAGGGGGAAACATTGTCCGAAACCTGGGATATCCTGGGATTGTGGTAGAGAAGTTTAGTCGTGGCAAGGTTCAACCACAACAAATACAGGGATGCGATTTGAAGGCCAGCCGACGATCATATCTACGCGATCGAAACGATCCTTTTCAGTTGTCAGGTGGCACCAGTATGATCCATTGTGCACTGTCTACATTGTGCTTTTGTCAAACAGCCACTCCAAGTGCGTCCCCCCCGAAAAAAAAGGACCCACAAACCATTCCTGCGTGAACTATCCTGCACTACTACTGGAAACTAACCACGCGCCCTGAGCGTACTCCCGTACTAAATTCATAGGCACCGTGCTAAATTATATAAGTAGGCACCAAAACATATCGTACAGTAGGGGAGGCATTACGTTAACTGGCCCATCACTCCAAAATGCATCTTCTCAACATTGTGTAGGAACAGGCCAAAATCAAATACCCTACTTCGAGCGAGCCCCGCCCTGAAAGGTGATTGGGAAGAAGGGGCACATGTATTGACAGACTGGCCTGACAAAGGCAAACAAGCGGACTGACACAATGTTCTGGCACCAAGTCTGGTTTGTGCCCTGACACATCACCTATCATGAGGGCTGGGATGGCTGTGTCCTGACGTCCTTGTTTGCGTGAGTTCTGACTTTTTTCCTGTCTGACATGTGATGTGACACTTCGACCGGCTTTGGTCTGCACATGTGCTCTGACATGTATTCTGACTTTTGCTCTGCCATCAAAGAAAGTTTCCATCTTGCAAGCTTATGCGGCAATTGTCTTGTAACATTCTGGCTGCCATGAAATCGGACAGTCTGGCAAAAACCCTGCCGTTCTATCTGGGATATGTTCCGGCAAAAATTCTGCCATTCTATCGTCTCACATATTCTGACATTCCATCTGGCATATGCGTTCTGACACTCTATCTGGCAGTCTATCTGACAAGGTCCGGCGGGCACCCACTGCGATCGAGCACTGGAGGTTGAGGCCCGGAGGTCACGATCGGGTCCGGCGGTGCGCACTGCGATCTGGAGCTGGCAGTTGAGGAAGTGCAAGGAGAGGATACAAAGGATGAGGCGGGATCCTCTTCGAACATTTAACAACCCTCACCTGACAGGTGGGGAAAAAGAAAATTGTCTACATTGTGCTTTCATCAACCACCCATTCCTAGTCTAAAGTTGCCGCTGCTCGACTTACGACCTCCTGACTCCTGCTTGCCTGAAAAGTCTGCGCGAAGAGCTCCAATATCAGCAAGGGGCTTGTGGGGGTCCTCGGATTCAGGACACTGGAGTTGCAGGTGCTATATAGCGGGCAACTGTTGAAGCAATCCAAAGCATCCATCCACATACCATCCAAGACTCGAAGCCCTCCAAATCAATTGTAGTCCTGGCCGGGAGTACAACACTGGCCAAAAAACTTTCACCTCCTTTGTAGCCTCAGAATGGCTGACCTCGAATCACGCTCAGCCAATTCAGTTCGAAGTCGCCGTATCTCAGCCTCGTACCTGGAGATGGCGCAAGCTGGCACACACACACACACACGTGACATATGTGAGTGATAGAGTGAGCCTTTAACTGTGCTGATGTATCTCCAACGTTCAGAAATGAATAGAAGCAGCAACATGCAGTCAGAGGGAAACTAAAGCTTGGTATGCAGTGCATGAAAGCCTGTTGGCCATCATGCGTGGGTCCAGGTCCTCGTTCACCTGAGTCAACGAGTGAAAAAATGTTTGAACCCAATCAATAACAAGTCACACTTCCGCTACTGACTGACACATAAGCTACATTTTTTGATCTAGTTTTGCTGCTCTACATAGTGCCATTGCGAGCAGAATTTGCAAAACTTACAAGGTCTTTCCACCACTGCTGTTGTGAGAGCCGAACCTGTGGCGTAGTGACTACCCCTTTGGCTCGTTGAGCAAATTTCAAAGTAGAGAGAGATTCGGCAAAGGCTTCTGCAGCAGGCGATACCATGGCCTTGAAACACCCAACGGTGATTCTTTAGATTTGTCATTCAGGAGAAAGACTTCTCGGCCCCAGAGTCAAGCATAGTAACTTACTGGTAATTAACATGGTCTGAAATGACTCAATCAAAACATACTGGCCGTTCAAAGTTCACAAACCAAGATTCCATCATGGTAGTCCGGCAGTTGCCACCTAAGGAGTCTTCCAAAAGCCTCGTGAGCTTGGAGTCCCGGTATGGTACGTGGGATCTGGCCCTGCGCTCGGTCAGCGCCGAAATGACATTGCCTTGGGCAAGTGTCGGCTTGACTGAATATGTGTTGGCGGAGCTCGTACCATTTGCAGCAAGCCGGCCACGCACCACAAAAAAACACATGGGGGTTCTGCAGCCCTGCAGGTACATGTGTACCATGACAAAATGCTGTATCACTGTATCATAATTGTCAAATCTCCAAATATCTCCAAATGCTGAAGGACTTATTGGCAGTGATGCTGGTCTGAGGGGACTTGCGACAACAGAATCTAGGAAACCAAAATGTCTAGGGCCTATGTTGGTTCGATGCCCAAGCAAACACTCGGCCAAGAAGATCATGACGGCCAATCAAGGCAAGCATCGTATTCCGGTAGATCTGCTTAAACTGCAAAGATCTCTCCCCGACAAGGCAACTATATAATACTATATACGCCAAGCTGAAGTCGACCCCCACGTGAGCCACTCATTTCTGATCCGTTAGGTCCTCCATCCCCAGTCTCATGCGTTGCTAGAACAATATGTTTGCTGCATGACAGGATCCTAAGATATACTTAAGTCCAAATTTATAGTCCAAAGCATGGGAAGAGTAGTCATAGTTTGTCTTGGCACCTTCCAATCTTGCAAAGGAACCCAGTGCAGACAGGCTCTGATTGATCTTCTTGGTCTCTTCCAACCGTTGCCCCGTGGCACCTCAGGTATTGCTCTACTCTCCAGGCTCGAACCAAACAGAATCTCAAGGAATTCCTTCTACTGACTAAGCCTTACTTATCTTCTGTTTTGTCAATTCGTTGATTGTGCTCTTGACCTCATCTTGACCGCATCACAGTGTGACTATTGCGGGCCACATTCATGGTTGAATCGAGATGCCTGTTATGCGTGGTCGCTCTGACCCGGCCAGGTCCACCAGGTTTAATCGCCCCGTGAGGCTTTGGGATCCTTCCATGAACTTCTCAGACCGTTCCACAACCTTAGGTTTTTTGGATTCTTGTCGGACCATGTTTCCTTTTTCATGACTTACTCTCTCTCTCTCTCTCCAAACGTGTAGACTTTTCTGGTAAGGCAACAGTTTGGCATTTGAAGCTGCCCCACCAGCTGGTCAACAGCAAACACATGTTTGTGGACGGAACAGTGCCGGCTGCCCAAACTTGGTAGCAATCTCCATTCTGCAAAGTGAATTCCATCTTGTTTTCCCAGTCACGCATACTCCTCACTGAGGCCCTAGCGATGATAAAAACAGCATGAGATCGGCTGGAAGTATCATTGGCGCCAGTCTGGGCGGTGGCACGAGCACTGGACCCATGCTCCATCAGCGTCTGCACCTGGGGATTGTCGAGAGCATTGTTACTAGTAGCGTTGCTCCTAGTAGTACGGCCAGGAGCCCCCAGTAGCGTCCTTGCTACTAGTAGAGATGCACTTGTTACTAGTCAAATCTGAACAATGCTCTCGAGTCACTTCATCAGGACTTCTGCACAGCCATTCAGAGAGGCCCTCAACAAACACCCCTCGTCTTTTATCTTCACCTGGGAATCATAGATTTGCATTGCATGCGGCAAAGCGCGCCAAACCAATGCTGCAAAGCTTGCATGCACTCTGATTCCCCCACTTGCTTACTGTTGTTCTGTGTGGCGTGGCAGGAGCCCGGTAACCTTTCCAAACCTCTGCTCCGGTTCAATTTAGGCACCGGGTATAAAAGTTCCGCGGGCTTATCTGGCTGAGCGGCGAATCATCAAATGAGATCTGTCTGGCTTAAGCAAGTCTGATATAACTTCATTGTAAATCTGCAGGTATGATGCTCGAACCTGCAAGCGATTGCGCCGACCAGGGGCCCAAATGCTTGACTTGAAGTAGGCACTTGCTACTGGTATTGCAAGTCCAGCTTTCCTCCTAAACGTTCCTCGTCTTGACACTTGCAGCTTGCACAAAGCTTCCCAATCAAAAGAGCCTTTCCTAGATTCTTAGTCGTGTCCGTATCGCCATGTTGGCAGATTTCCTGCCTCGAAAGTTGAATGCTCATTTCTAGCACTCCTGATATGTTCAAATATATCCTGTCAGGGCCGCTTCAGTCGGCACAATTCCACGTGCCTGTGAAGGTCCTGTGTTACATTGTGAGAAATCCACGCAAGAAGTGCATCAATTTATCTATCATGCCCACCGCCATGTCGAGACAAGCATAGGAGACAAGTGACAAGGGTTTTAACCGAGCACCTTGATTGCAGTATCTTGATTTATCAGCTCTGCTGGGTGCCCTTCTAATGTGATCAAAGCAAATCACTGTGGTGAGAGCTTCCTCTCCTGGGAGAAGTCACAAACCAGAAGGATTTTCTTTACTCACCAAATCATGTTTACTCGAGTGCACGACTTTCTGCTGCCTCGGGGTTTGAGTTGAAATTCGGGGTACGCTACGCCTTGCTATCTTTCACGACCTGGCTTTGTGGCGGCTTGGTGGTTCTTTTCAACAAACATGGAAATGGACAACGCCCAATTTGTCCAGGAACATGGTTTTGCAAAGGGGCGTTGTTCTCCTTCCATGTCACATAGCACCTCGTGATCCAGAGTCTGGAAGATTTGAGAAAAACAAATGACCTTGCGTCCGAGATTCCAAGGTGTCTCCTTTTCTTAAAGCCATTCTTTTTGGGTGATCTTTGGCCATCTGTGATGTGTAGGCGGTTTCACATGATCTGTAGTGACTTGCAGTGATTGGTGATTATTCATGTCCCTTCGCGTCGACAACCGGACGCGCCGTTTGCTTCGACAAAGGGCGCAAGGAAAGGTTTTTCATGTCCAACCAACACCCCAGGTGATGCGTAACCGAATGAGCAGGACTCTAGATGGTTTGTTGCAACCACTCAATCGTTCGACCCCCTTGAAATTGTACACTTTCACGGGGTCCAACTGATATCCAACAATGCATGCTTTATTTTAGTTTCTGTATACGTCTACTTGTTAGCTCTAGGTTGAAAAATGCATGTGATTATAATATGTATGATTGATAGAATGTCAAGAGATTGATCGATATTATAAGGCCTAGAGGTGAATCGGTACTAAATTTGCAGGCATCATCAAATAAAAAGTTGGTCCCCCTGAAAATTGTAACCAGGTCAATGAAAGGCAAATCAACAATTCCGTTGAACAGTTTGGATCATTTGTCACTGCAAGTACGCAACTCCACATCCTGTCCCACATCATAGGGCACACCACCTCCACATCGAATTACAGTGGTTTCAGAGTAGATGGCACAAACACCTACATGTCTTTTAGATGGGGGTCCATATAAACCACCTTTTGGGGGATTGTGCCATCTACTCTGAACGCCCCCTAGCTAACGCCGAGCTAACGCTCCAAGAACTCAGTGCACACGCCCCAACAATCACACCCCGTGCGGGCGGATTCATTGTCTGTCTGTGGCTGTCTGACTGTCTGGTAAGGCCAGGTAAGACTGCAGGCAGATTGTCCAAGATCGGATTGCAATCTGATGGAACCGGGTACCGCAAACCGGGCGAATGGAGGGATTGGATTCGAGGAGCAGTGGGAAAGTCAGGCAGTCCATCCTACCAACCCAACAACCCTCAATGGACCTCGACTGCCCGTGCAACTCCGGGAAATGAGCCTTCCACCAACCCAACTAAACTATAGTTGCAACTACGATTGCTTGTTCTGTAAACACTGCTGCCGCCATTGCCAGTGCTGCTGCTACTGACTGTACCAAGGTAGATACGAGCCGCCCTGGTTTAGTTAAAGGTCTACGAAGACTCACATATAAATATATACTGTATATACTCGATATATTCACACACATATATATTCTTGAAAGTGCTCTATCAGTTTTTGGGCCAACTGCTTCCTGCTACTTCAGCTGATGATCTCATCTGACGTTGCTTTTGTGACCGCGCACTATGTCAACCTTATGGCGGACACTCCTCCATGGATCGTGGGATTATGCCATGTCCGTCTGGACGAAGGCTGCCCTCCATGGTGTAGGTCTTTCCAGTTCCAGTTGGCCCGTAGGCCAGGATTGTTGCATTGTAGCCTCGTAGAGCTGACATCACCTACAAGTGGTTGACCATGCGAACTTTAGAAGCAAGTTTTGCAAATCATTTCACAACAACTAAGTGGCAGATGTACGTGCAGTGCTCTCGTAAACGTCTGGTTGGGATGCATTCTGATCGTACCTCGCAAATCACAAAGTATCAGCTCGTATCAGCTCTCATGGCATTTGCCCCACAAAAAAAATGCTTCAAGCCATGCTGCACATGGTCAAAGGAAAAGGTGTGAGTGTTGACAACCTGGCTTGTGCCGCTTGCTCTATCGGCGGCATTCATTTCGGGAACCGTCTCATATAAACATATCCTGAGGGGCAATGTTGTTGCGCTGCATCAAAATCAAAAGTATGCAAACGTGCCGCCCACTGTGAGCAATATTGTTGGGAACTGACTTTGTGCCAGGCTGAGGCTCTGTGTGGTCCCCGGCACCGACCTCAACATGCATTTTACATGTCCGAAGTTAAGACTGTTGTCAGCTTCTTTGTCTGTGTGCATGTGGGACTGTTCCTTATTTTGATATTTTGCTGGGACTATTCCTTATTGGGACTCCGAATCGTCAATTTATTATTGCAACTTGTCCCAATCTGCACACAAGCCACACAACATGCTGCCAAACAGGTGAACACAGCTCGCGGTCCAATGGAGGACGGACTCGTATGACTACTCTGAAGTACCTCGGCAGCGAAGCCATCAACCATGAGCAACTAGTCTGCGTGGCATTTTCAGTTTTGAGCTCGTGGCTCATCTGGATCACAGAAATCCTGCAATTTGGTCACACTTGCTCGTGAGTTCACAATGTTCACACATCTCCCGTGAGGAAGTACAATGGAAGCCTGTTGAACATGCACCGAGCTCAAGGAAGCGCCAGAACCTGTCGACTGCAATAGTTTAATGTCATGCACTTCTAAAATGCAATCTCGAATAAAATCATGGCAGGGCACGTCCTCCCAAGCTGAGTGATCGACCCTCAGCTCGTTCGAGTAATGTCTAAAAAGATCTAAAAAGCCTTTGCACTTGTCAATTGCACGGTCTATAGAGACTGGAATGGTGCCAAGGCTCTGTGTGTCGAGAATCCATTTGAGCAGTTCGACTCACATGCCGAGAAATGCTTGCAATTGGCGTGCATGGGTGGCAAGGTCTGCTGTGCAAAATCGTTTGCAAACGCTTTGAACTTGGAATGCATCACGGATCTCCAAGGGATCTCCACAACAGTTTGCCTAAAGTAGATCCAGAAGGTAGCTAGCGAAAAGGATTGTTTGCCTCGCCCTTCTCCTGGTTTGCTTTCTCCAACCACTGTCTGTCTATCTGCGTGCATGAAGAAGGAACAATTTGTTCCTTGTTTTTGATATCAGTAGATGCCGTAGTCGTAGTTCGTAGTTCTGTCAAATAAACCAAGTGTTGGTGGCTGGCGGAAGCAGCAAGCTCATGTTGAATCCTACATACACGCTATTGACCGATTGGGATGCTACCCTCCCCAAAAAACACAACACAACAGTGTGCATCATTTCCTCTCATCAAAAAAGCCTCTCAAAATTGATCCTACTGCTGAATCTGCAGTGCGACTGGCCGTTGACACACAGGCACGCACTTTTGGTCCACTTGGTTGCCGGTTTGCCACCGGTGGCTAAAACTGCGCTCAGGATTCTCAGGATCGCCAGTTTATACGGCCACTCAAGGCATCAAGAAGCTTGGATTCATTTTCTTGTCGGTTTTCGCTGTAATCCACTTTTCGATAAGCCAGCCTGAGCAAATGGGTGAAAGTCTGCGATGCTAAGAATAAATATTGACATGCTTCATCCCTGCAGGACGTTCCTCAACCAACATCCTCAATGTGTCTGCAGGGGCAACTCAAACGCGCTTGTTGTGACTGTTGGTCTGCCATGTCAAACGAGGCACTCGTAGTACAAATCTTCATCGCTCAAGGAGTGGATCTTGTTTGCCTTGAGGCCTGCGACCATGTCTGCCACCTTTTCAAGCACTGGCATTCCTGAGCTGGCGAGACTGTGGTGAAAACGGATATGGATTTGACTCCCTCCAGCCTATTGCGTCTCGAATCTAGTGGAACCAAATGTGAAATGGCAGCATCCACAAAGACCATCAATACTTTTATATAGGTATGCTTCGGATTGGAAATGGTCAAAGCTTGTGGCATTCTACAAACAAATTCAGTCACAATGTCCTTGGATGTCCTTGGCATTGTTGGCTGTGTGTGGTGGTCGCATGTGTTCACTCAACATGCTGGATGGTAATGGTGGCTTCACGACCCTATATTTAAACGGCAGGAGTTCCCTTTAGCTATTGGGAAGTGGAGGACGGGTGTTCATCGACCAAGGCTTCAGGTGGATGCAAGGGCCATTGACAAAGCCTCATGAATCATAAGAACCGCAACCTAGGAGCAAAGGGCATCGCTACTAGGAGCAAGGACGCTACTAGAGGCTCCTGGCATCGCTACTAGGAACAAGAAGCAACTAGGAGCAAAGGGCATCGCCCCATTCAAAACAACTGTATTAGTATTAATTATTGTGTAGTGTAGAGTCAGCGGCGGTGACCGCTCATCAAGAACCATGCAAAGGCATGCAGCATAAGCATAAGGCAATTCATGGCAATTCGGAGAATCTCTGAGGTTGAGCGAATCGGTTGTTGTCTGTGGGTCACGTTTAGCTGTTTAGCTGCCCTGCCGGGTGAATTTGGATTGGAGATGCTCCTGGCAACATATGTGGTGGCCGTGAACTTGACAACCTGACAATATAATCTTTATATTTATAAAATTGCTTAATAAAAACTTTTCATGATTGAACGTCAAGGCGAGACTTGCCCTGGTGACCGGGCCGGGGCTCCAAGTCGAAGACTTTCCTCGCCAAGTTCCTTCTTTGTCCAATTTGAGTAGTTGTTTCCTTATCAAACGGGACAACTGACTGAAACGTCCGGCCCCGGCCCTGGCCTTCAAAGAATCACATCTCAACTCCCGAAGGACAAGGTACTCATACGGTACGAGCATCTGCTTATTTCTTATGTGGTCCATGTACTTCCGGTGAGTGTATTATGAAGTCTTACTGTAATAAGTCTTGCACACCACATATTATGCTGGGGGCTGTCTTAAGAGCTCTGCATAGTCCTCAGGTATGGTCGAGTCAGATTCAGAGCTACTAAAGGAGGAGGCCGATAAAGATCGGTAAAGGCTCCAGTTTCTCATCTCCGCTCCCACTAATTATTCCTTTTGCTTATGACCCTCCTTCCAAATACTGCGAACCTGTCGTCTGTGCAGGACCTCCTGCTTCAACACATCTCTTCTTGGCAGGTTCCCTGCTCAGCTTCATGAGCTATGCTCAGCCGTTCAAGACTTTCATTTGCGCAGCGAGCAAGGAGTTTCAAGGACAGTTTCAGACCAGCTTGCTTGGAAGCCATTGTTAGAAGGCAAATCGGGGAGCGTCTTCCCGGCATACGTTCGTGTACTTTCTGGTTATTACTTGTTTCGCTCTTAAGCAGCGCAAATGAGGCGCAAATGAGGCTTCGGAGTCAACAAAATATACGGTCTTGTGACCTTGTGCCTTCAGCCTTGCATGAAAGTGCGTTGACATGTATAAGCAAACTCTAAATGGTGGCTTTTGGGCTTACACTCGATAGAGAACGGCCTGGCGAAGCTTGGACGGTATACCCAGTGTTAGAGAAACACTCCCGTGCTACATCACGCCTGCCCAAGAGAATATGGACAATATAAAGCGCAATGTCAAGTGGTCTAAGGTTAAGCAAAAGTGTCGCTCACATGATTCAAATGTCTAAAGGATGTCTACCAACCCAGTTCAATTGACAAGGACAACGGCAGTAAAGGGTAGGCATGGGTAGGCGATGGCAGTCGGACGTGGCAGGTGGAAGTTACGTGGCATGGTTCTGTGCCGCGGCAAACGGCCGAATAAAGATTAGGACAATGCTGTCGTGGAGTAATCATAGCGAGCGTGGAACAAAGTAGTCCAGAAAAAAAATCATTTGAAGATTCTTGCAAGCATGAATGTCAAGTACTTCGAAAAACTTTAGTTCACTCCTGTCTTGAGATGGTCATTTCATTAGTGGAACTCGGGTTCCAGCTCTGGGGATTGGGTTGCGTTTCAAGGCCTCGATAATGCCCGTTTGAACTGTTGATGCTCACACCAGTGCCTGCAAACTTTTGGGTGGGCGGCCACGGCCCATATAGATCATATAGGCCAGGGCACCCATAGGGCACCCCAAATTATGGTGCTCAAATGTGCTCAGTCTGCTAGGGGAAGCGTTTGGAGGGATGTTAGTCTGTTCGTGCCGTGGCCCAAATCTTGGGGAGGTGTGCCAAATCACAAATCTTGGAAACCGATCCAATAATCTGCTCCGATCATGATCGATCCGATGATTTGATTGATCCGATCAAACCAATGATTCCCGCTGATGTGAGAGTTGGTGATACCAGGACCGATGATCGAGCCAATGATCCACTGATCGGAGAGTTGCTGATCTGATGATGCGGTGCTGATCCGAGTGTTGTAGATCCCTCATAATTCATAATGTTGCTGAGCCGAGGGGGGCTGGAATTGATAAACCAATTTAGGGGGGTGGGTTCAAACTGATGAATAAGTAATTAGACCTGGACGATCCAACTGTTGCTTCACAAGACAAACTCAAGGTATCCCTGAGGGCTACCTCTCGTCATACTTGCAGTATCAGTACCTTTGGTCTCTGAAACACATAGATGACACTTTTGTGCAAAAACCAAAAGTGATCCACACAAGGAAGCCGCAAAGGAAAGCATTTTCGGTGGAGCGGATGGAGCATGTGGAGCGGAAGACGCTGATCCCTGTCGCAATGGGCCTGGTAGGGCAATTGGATCCTTCAAGGAAAGACTAGTACTGTCATGTTCCTGAATGAAAGCAACACATAAGCCTCATTGTTCTTTTGGCGTTGGAAAAGGCGTTTGAAAGGACAAAGGAACAAACGACACGTCGTCTTTTCTACATGCTCCACGGCAACTACAAAACTCAAACTACGCCCAACTTGTGTTTCAGTCTTAGTGGGCTTTGTGAGGCCAAACAATAGACAATAGGATCTAGACCGTAAACAATCAAGAAATGGACATCTCTGCTTGCAGTCATTTATCTAACTGTGAAGTAGATTGCCATCTTCAAATCAAATATTCTGAAGTTCTGTGGCCACTGCGGTTCAGGTTCAGGATGCGTTCCAGCAATTGGTTTCTGGAACCTGACACCAGCTCCTTGGTGTCTGGAGCAGTTTTGCAGTGCATTGACTGACCTCCCTTCCTCGTCAACAACTCACAGAAGAAGAAACATGTCCTCATGTCCTCCAAGATTCTGCATTATCACTCAAGTTCTTACGCAGCTCGCTATCCGTCTGGGTCTTGTGGTTCAAGCTGTCACCCCCCTCCAAGCGGTTCCAGGAATGTGTAGGCTCATTGGTTGAGAGTTGTGCACACAACGGCACATGACAGCAGAAGTGACTCCGGCCTTGGGAAATCTTGCTTTTGCTTTCTTCCGTGCCTCGTGTTTGGGTATCCGACGTATCCGATCTTTTTGAATCTCCTGAGCATCCTTGTGGATCTGCTCCGCCTGTGGTGTGGCCCAAATCAATGAACCAAAAGCGGTGGTTTTAACAAAGCAAACGACCTAAGCAGCAAGGCCTCCTTTCGGAGCCGTTCATCATTTGGTTAACCCATGGTACTCTCAAAAGGGGTAGAAGAAGAAAGCAACCGACATCGCATGCCCGTGCTGAGTTAAGGAAATCTGTGCGGCCCAGAATGTCACTTCTCAGTCCTTCTTCTCGCGATCTGGTGGAAACCACCGCCCTTCTTTCTCGAGCGCCCTGGTCAACTCCTGTACTGGACTGGCATCTGCTGGGCAAAGTGTAGGTTGGACTGGACTCCTAGCACGCTGCCTCTCCATCAAACAAAGCAGCGGTAGATCGTACTCGCCTTAGTGTGTCTTACGACTCTTTATAGTCGCAAAAATACGTTCTTGACTCCATCGGTTGAATGCCCGCATTTGCATCGTGTTAATAATGTGAGAAGTTGTTGGCAAAGATCAGTACCGTGCGAGTCACCTATTTAGCTGTGGGTGGACTTTGAGCCTTCTAAGGGGGCGCATTTGCATGTCATTGCCCTCGTGCGCGCCAAGATGCCAACCAGGCCCTCGTTTCACAACCAGCCAGAACGGAATAGGAAGTTTCCTTCAAGTTGCTTCAATAGATTAGGGTTACTATATCTATTATTTATATTTAGTCTTTAATTCATCAACGAGGACAAGGCGGACAAAAGAACAGGACAAAAGAACACAGCAATTGATCCATTAAGCAACAAGCAGCAAATTAACATAAAGAAAACACACACTCTATACTCCATGTACTTTGTTCACACACTTTTCCCAAGGTCACGGTATTAGCAATTGTCCAGCTTTCCTACGTGTTGCTTTCCCGGTTCTTGTACCGTGCAATTTGCCTGTTCTACAGTATGTGTTCCTCACTCAAAGCCTGATCTCTGCATTTTCTTCAGCTTGAGATTGAGATGCTTTTCAAGGATCAAGTTTTCCCTCCTTACCCAAGGTTGGCTAGGCACTCTCTCTCTCTATATATATATAGTACTGTGCTGTATTTTGGAAGATATTAAGGCAATTTATTGAATGGAAGATCCATTTTTCGAGGAAAATCCAGGCAACAGCAAATGGAAGAAATACCCTGTACCATAAAGTAGGTGTTCAATTTCTTCCATTTGTACTAAAGGCTTGCTCTGTCATTAGAAAAACTGAGAGAAATGGCAGGGCGAGACTGTTCCTCTTCCTTTTCCTTTCCCCTTCCTCTTCTCTTCCTGTGCCTTGTCCTCTTCCTTTTCCTTCTCCTCCTCTTCCCCGCTTCCTCTT